GCGGATAGCCAGTCCTTCGTAATCAGCCCACCACACCACAAACGAGGGAGAAAATCAATGTTGTGGTACACACTGCCAGATTGTGAATCTCCTAAAGGATTTTCGACGGATAAAACTATCCGAACCGTTAGCTTTTATGCGGGAATAAGTCCACGATAAAATGCAGTGTGGGTGGATTTATTAATCCGAAAAATCCCTAATACAGAAACTCTGACCTCACGACAGTTACACGTTCTACAGAACTACACTGGACGACAAAACTAAAAATATTGGTAAAATGAAGAATTTTTTTTATCAATGATCCAAATAACTATAATTATAAATAAAATCTTCCAAAGTTCCTGAAGAGAATCCAAATAGAACGAAACGTCACACAAAAATAAAATAACAGGATTTTGATGTTGTCGTGCCGTTTTAAAATTTTGACACCTACAGGCATGTTTAGCATGTCATTTTCTTCACCTAATCCATGATTTTATGAAAGCATCGCATTTCATCTCATCATTCCAAATTTTAAGCGAAGATATCGAGGAAATGATTAGGTTAGGTTTGATCTATGCGCTTTTTTATTTGAAAATTTCGTCAATCATTAATCCCAATTTACAATCAATTGATTGATTGTACCTCGATGCTATGTGTGTATGTATGTATGTGAGTGAATATTGATAGTTGCTATTGTCAGTTTCTTTGTTCTATGATATTAACAGAACTCTGGGAAATGGGAACATTATTACTTACTCGCTACCAAATCAAACGCGTTTTACTTAACTTAATGGAAATGATGTATCTCAACACTGTCCCAAATAAAAATGTTTTTGAATTCTCAATTAAAATAAAATAGCTACCCCTAAAACCGTTACTCACTATTTGGGTGTAATTTTTCCTTGAATCGGTTATTTTTAAAAGGTAAAACTGAAAACAAAACAACATCGCCGCTTATATTGCTGACAGGATTTATGAGTATTTTCGCGATAAAAATTGATACGTTTGCAATAAAACTTTCGTCACTGTTGGAAACATGCAATTAAAATGAATTTGTGGACTGAATGGTCTTCGAATTCAAGTAAAAGTATTATTCTTAATTTGGAGGTGAATATGTCTTTCTCTTTCATTTAGTATGCCTGTGACTTGGTTAATGTGCAAACATTAGCAACAGGGCTCTTTTTTCATCACTCCGCTTTCCAATTTGTTATTAACTTTTAGTATCCTTGTTTGCTGGATTGCTTAATTGGTATATGATATAATAAATAGGTATTATCTTTTCCATTTCCAATTTAAACAGGCTAGGCACGTTTTCCTCATTTCAATAACATACAGTTTTATTTTATGATAAATGTAAGCATTGTGCTGACTTCTCTTCTACGTTTGCATTTCGCAATCGTTTTTTTTTTTACATTTTGTGATTCTTGTCAGTAAATCAAGCTCGATAATTTTCACTGCACACATTATTGGCTTCCGTAAAGTCGGAGGCGATAAAAGCGTTGAATTCTTGTTTTTTCATGATTATATTGTTTGCGCGTTTATCTGTTCTGTTTATACCTTCTAAACTTGGTCGAGGAGCGAGCAAATGTGGAATGTTGAACTTAATTGAGAGGATTTGTAGATTTTTTTTTGTCAGTAAAAATTTATAAAATGCACAGGCGGTTTTTCTTGAAACTTTTCGAAGGAATGTAAAAGTCTTGGGAGCCATTCAAAAAATATGGCGTTTTTCATTTTCAATGGCAAATAGTGTCATTTTAAGCAAAAGATTTGAATCAAATGTTTCCATTTGTTTGGGTTAAAAAGTTATTTTTTTTATTCGTTTAGGTATCTGATTTGAATAGTAAGTTTTATTGTCATGCATTTTTGAGACTTTCTTCACTTCAATGTATATTTTTGGCCATGAAAATCTTATTTTTGTTTCAGTTTATTTACCCAGCTTTTTATGTAATTCTTATCGTCTATTTAGTATATAACAAATGTACATTTTGACTTCTGTACAGGATTGCTTGATTACACACTATAAAAATATAGACAGTTCTTAATATTGTTCTTAAAAAAAATCTCATTACGAACTACAAAACGTTATTAAAAAACTAAAAAATCTTGGTGGTTTTGAGCAGGAAATGAAATTATAACAATAATTTTAGAATGAAGTATTTTGACCATCCCCTGCTTTCCATTACAAACACTGGCATGCAATGATTATCATTTCTGTAAACGCTCTGAAAACTATCATCGTTGATTGCATCGATGGATCAATTTATTCGAGTATTACTGGAAAACATTCTAGGTCCTGCCGAAGCTCTACTGAACGGTGTCCTATAAAAAGTTTTTCTAGCTTAAACTTAGTGAAGAAAGCTTTAAATTGCTTGAATCAATCGTATCGATTGGATTCAATAGTTGCGTGAAGAGGGATGTGGTAAACGATGTTAAGCTGAGCATCCAGTGAAGATACTACAGTTGAATGGACATTCAAATTATACACAGCTCATAATAATACGCAAAATAAAACATATTTTTTGATTGGTACTTGCTTTTATATTTGGATGATTATCAATTTCGTGAATAATCCAATTATCATACATCTAGTTAACAAACATAAGTAACTCTTTGAATATTTATTGTTCAAACTATCATCGTCAGTAATCAAGCTCAAACTATTTAGAGCTACTCAAATCATAAACTTTTATAGGAAACTTATCACACTTTCCAAATCTGCAATAATATATGTGGGCGACTTTAATTATTCTCGGTTGCAGTTCAAAAACTGTCAAAAATCTGGCAAATACGTAAATACATCCTGGTATAATGTGTCCTTAGAATTCAACTCAGAATTGCCTTAAAATGCACCTCACAAATGGCTCCTTAGAATTTTCATGAAAATTCACATCCAATTTTCCATGGCAATTTCTTGGAAGACTTCTAGAAACTTCTTAAAATTCTCATTTGCATTCTCTGGAAATAACCCTTTGAATTTCCTTGGAGCATTCCTCGGAAATATCTTGGAATTATCCTGCTGTGATGCTCCAACAGCCGATTTGGGTAACTCTTAGCATACGAGCCTTTGCAGGATTAGGATTGATTGTTGAATACTTGTGTGGAAGTTAAAAAAAAAACATTATCACTACATATTATTGATAACGTTCATCACGTCTGAATAAGCGCCTAAAACAAAGTGGACTTTAAGGATTTCAGCAAAGTTGCATTTGGATAAATAGTAAATGAAAAAATATGATCGATAACAATTTAAAAGTAGCAAATCGAAATTATATGAAGATATGAGAACCGCAGTTGCTAATTTTGCTCCATGTAGCATGCGTTTATCATGAGCTGCGTTCGAAAAGGCGTTCCGTTTGTCGTGTAACGAAGTTGTGCTCATCGTAATTCGTTAGAACAAAATTTAAAATTTCCCTTTGTCAAATTTCCGAAAATAAATAACCAGTAAAATTTACGTCTTCACGTTACAATATTAAAACCACTCAAAACATTATACCTACTAAAATTGTTCTAGTTAAAATATACGATAAAATGGAGATAAAATAAGTCAAAACAACAAAAGTACCCGTTAAAAAGATCAAACATCCACCGTTATAATTAAAATTCCCACTAGATAGTGATTGGTGCCCAGATAAAACAGTAAAACAAACCTTACGTGCTGATAAACATAGTTTATATAATAAATAAATAGCGCCAGAACTTTTATTCTGGAGTATATGGTTTACAAATAAAGTGAAAAAATAATAAATTAGAACGTTACACATACCAAACAATTTCTGATTTCACAATGATTCGAATATCTCATCATTCTGATAGATATAAATGCATCGTAGAGCGCCTAAATGCAACCAAACAAAACTCAAAATCTATGATTACCTTCGACCAGGTAATTGATCTTCTACAAATTAATGGAAAACTCATCTAGAGATTACCTAGTTCCCTATCGTTAAATCGAACCTATCTTTTCCCCGATAGAGAGCAATAAATAAATAATGTAAATAAATAACAAAGATAGATACAAGAAAAAAAAAACCTTAACAATACTTGCGATGGAAATTACTTCTCTCAGAATATGCATTTAAAAATTCACTGAGAGCATCACTCTCCCGTTCGCACTGCCTTAATTAGTGGCAGTATGGAACGATATTTGCTTCATCCTAACTAAAACGTCAAACCTTATGCATCCTCTATCCTCCGTTTATCAGACTGGCATTTAACGTTTAAAATTGTATATAAAAGAGCTTTTCCTCACAGTTTACTTAACCTCGGTTCCTTGTTGGTTTGTTTCATTCTCATTTCTGTTTTTTTTTCTGTTTTTGATTTAAACGATTTCTCCTAAAAATTGCATTCCGCTTAAAAGTAATCAAACACAGATTAGGATTTACAAGTCTAAGCCTATTACTCTTCCCTAACAACTGCCTTCTTAAGTATTGGAGCTTGTTTCACGCTTTGGATAGTCGAAAGTTATACATCGTTCGTATTTGGCATCGCTATCAATCCGTACGATCTCTTGACGTCATGTTACTGGTGTATGGTATGCCATTTGTTTTTGCAAATTGTTGCAATTTAAATAATAATTTCAGACTATTATTACTAAATACAACAATGTTCAGCCAAACGTGCTGGAGATATTACGAATCGATGCAGGCGAAATAGTGATTTCCTCCCGGTGGAATTCCTTTGCATGGAGGATATTTCATGCCTAGAAATTTCCCAAAGAAATTCCTCGACGGGTGTATTTCAGTGCCACACTTCGCTATCCGCGACTAGTTTCACATCTCACGAATGATTATTGGCCGATTGATGCATAGGTAGAGCATTGATAAATACGTAAAACGCATAGGATTACGACGGTAGGAGGGTAACAAACAAAATGTTGCAACATTTATGATCAACAATAACACCTAGATAACAACGGCTGGTGCAAATCTTCACACCAGAATGATGTGACTTTGGCCACACGTGCTGCAGTCATATGCAGCCGGAAAGGAAATGAGAAGAGGTTGATTGTCACTCACTGTTTAGAGGCCGCCAAACTGTTGCTGCAGCTGTTGGTGTAAATTGGCCGGTCCGTGACAGGAGATTGGCGATGAGTCTGCTGAACTGCTGCTGCTGTTATTGCACGGTGGCGAAGGCGACTTGGGCGAGACATGCAGCGAATTGTAGTGATGGTGATGCTGCGAATGGCTGTGATGTTGCTGCTGCTGTTGATGCTGGTAATTGAACTGTGACTGTGAATGATGCTGTTGCTGTTGCTGTTGGTGTTGGTGTTGATGCTGATGTTGTGATCCGGGTGTCTGTTGAGGACCCACCCCGACAATAGTAGTTGACTTTGAATTGCGGGTCAAAGGCTTGTGGTTCTGTAGTGAACTGTCCCGGTTGTGCTGGAACTGCCAGCATGATCGACAGAAGTATCTAAAGTGAGAAAATTGCAAGTGGTCAGTAATAATTTCGGGTGTATACATTGTATGTAATCAAATAATGATTTATCATGTGCTTTATTTATTCTACTTGATGTTAAATAGATAGGTGTCATTGACCATAGATGCTGGAGAATGATGGAGCTTGCGAATGTATTTGTTTTACTCAGAATCTTGAAAGCTTTTTGTGTGTCAGTGTCATGCAAAATATCTCCTCTTCATTGCTACGTGTTGATCTATTTTTCATGTCCATTGTAAGATCTCACAAGTCTTAGTCCAAGAAAGGCACAACAAAGTCAAGTCTCAACAGTTTTTTTTTTAAGAATTCATGTCACTGTTTTATCATAACTCTTTTAAAAATTTCTCAAGAATGATCTTGGGATTCTCTCTGGTACTCCCTTAAAATTGACAATAATTCCAAGTTAATTTTTAAAACAGTTCAAAGGGAATCTATTCTGAGGATAGAACCAACAAAATTCTAGGGCGAACTCGAATTCTGAAAAATGTTTCATGGGAATTATGAGGAACATTCCAACGAATTCTTAGGATAATATCAAAGAACCTCTGGGAGCATTCTAAGAGAATTATGAGAAGAATACTGAAAGAATGCTGGGAAGAGTTATTTCAATTGTCAAATTGTTGTAAATCACTTTCGTCTATTCGATGATATATTCTAGAATTTCAACATAATTTTTAACATCTCCGAAGTAGTTCTGTGAAGAATTTCATGGTTTTTATGAAGGGAATTCCCTGAGGAATATCCCAAGAGAATCTTTCAAAAAATGATGAAACAAACCATAAGCAAGCTCTTGCATGCATTATTATGAATTGAAATAACTCTTCCCAGCATTCCTCGTAATTATCTTAGAATGCTCCCAGAAGTTCTTTGATATTCTCTTCAGAATTCGTTGGAATGTTCCTCATAATTTTCATGGAACAATTTTCAGAATTCAAGTTCACCATAGAATTTTGTTAGATCTATCCTCAGAATCAGATTCCAGATTCCAGATTACAGCATTTTTTTTTTAGTTTTGTGGCCGAACATCCGTATTTTGATTTGGGGTTACTTCTACTATGCTCGGTGAATGTAGAAAAAATGCGTGAAACTTAAACTATTTAGTTCAAGAAATATGAAACTTTGAAGGAGTATAAAATCAGAAAACATTATAAGCAACAAGCAAACAACCTTAAATTTGTGATGGCTATATTGTAAATACGTTTCATAAGTGATGGTTTGAGTGCTTTTTCAAACAGACGAAAAAGAAAAAAAATGTTTTTTAATATGATTGCAAAAATATGAAAAACTATACAGGGTGAAAGGTAATTCCTGTCAGTGTTTTTTAAGCAATTGTAGTACCAAATGGGTTAATCACATAAATGTCTACATATATTTATTTAAGAGTGTGTTCAAATGTCAACACGGCATGCAAGTTTGTTTTGAATTTTCATTCGTTTGATACTCGTGATACATGGACGCGAAAAGGGAACTCGTGATAAGCCTGTTTTTGAAGCATCATATACCGTGTTCTATTTTGAAGACGCTGAAACCACTCGGAATAAACGAAACATTCATCTTTCGCACTATTAAACGGTACCAGGAAACCGGTTCATGGAAAATCCCTCCCAGACCAGGCCGAAAACGCAGTGTCAAGACTCCGGAAGTTATCAAACGAGTGAGAGAGCGAATTCGGCGGAATCCTTGTAAGTCTGGGCGTAAGGTGGCCAAAGAACTCAAAATGTAGCAGCCAACGATCAGGAGTATTTTGAAAGATGATCTCGGATTGAATGCTTACAAAAAACAACGGGTGCATGGTTTCACCGGAAAGCAAAAGATAGCTAGAGTCGAAAGATGTCGGAAGCTGCTCAAAACGGCACGGTGATTGCGAAATTCTGTTTTCGGATGAGAAAATGTTCCTGCTATAGGAATGCTGCATATCTTGCTGATATTCCTCGTGACAAACTGGCTGTTCAAAGGTTCCAGAATATTTCCAGGGTGATGGTTTGGGGATGTTTCTCCAAAACATTGAATGTTCCATTGCTGTTCATTGAACCTGGTGTTAAAATCAACAGTAAATATTACATTCGATAATGTTTTGAAGAACCACTTGCTTCCCTTTTTCCAAAAACATTATAAGAATGCACCATACTGCTTCCAACAAGACTCTGCACCGTCCCATCAGGAAAAAGTTACACAGGCCCTGTGTGAGGCCAATTTCCCGGATTTCATTTCGTCGAAAGAGTGGCCTGCCTCCTCACCCGATCTGAATCCTCTCGACTTCTTTGCATGGGGCTACATATTAGGCGAACTAGGGAATACCAAGAGACTAATCGTGGAAACTTTTAAGCAACCTTTGGTGAAAATATGGGACGAAATGCCTCAAGATATTGAAATGCCTCAAGGACGAAATGCCTCAAGCTGTAACGATTTTCAAAAACGGATGCGGCTCGTAATTAAAGTAAAGGGAGAAAGATTTGAATTGGAGTAAGTTAAGACAAATGTTATTGATACACGAAACAGGAAATACAATGAAAATTAAATTTCACATCACCACTTTACTGACAGGAATTACCTTTCACTCTGTACATATACGATATCAATGGAACCCCCCTAAGCTACAATGTGGAACCTATCAAAGTTACCCCGTTTTACGGTACCATTGAATTCTCCTCAGAATGACCATAGAATTCTTCGCAACATTACACCGGTAATTCCGATAGCCCCACCCCGTTGCAAGAAGGTTCAGCGTTATTTTTTACCAGCAATCAAATCAAAACGATTTTTTACTACAAGGTTCGCTTGAGTTTTCCGCTTTTTGAGGAAGATTTCGCGTGGAACTGCTCAAAGCAGCTTACCCGGAAAAAAAAATAACCATACAATAACCATAAAATAATATAAAATCACAACACAATCTATTGCCAACACTCGATCCTATTGTATGTATATCATACAAGTAAATTGAAAATATTGTTATTACAATAAATCTACAATATGTTCCATAGAGCATGAATTTTCAGCAATAGAAAAACAATAAAATAAATGGTAAATGACTCAAGTTTATTCGGGAAAAAGTGAAATTCTGTACGGTTAAGATACATAACAACCCCCTTGTTCTATTGTAGATTGCTACATTTACCATAGATTCTATTGTGGAAACTATAAATTCCATGGTTATTTTATCGTTGCTGACAATACAATTTATTTTAAGTACAATAAATTCTGTTGTATGGTTACAATAAATTTCATTGTATCTATATCGTTCTTTTTTTTACGGGTATCTCGATCTATGGGTCGTGACCCAACTTGGAAATTTTTTATGTTTTTCAAGCCAATTCAATGTCAATCTGTTTTTAAGTTTCAAGTGAATCATATATATATATATACATACAGCATCATATTAAAGCTTGAGTCATTTAATATCTGCCAGCAGTTTGTTTTCAAATGTTTTCTCTTTCAGTGCTGAAAAGTGCGTCACGATTCGTTTTGTTCAAAATAAGTTATATTTGATGGAAACCGCGAACCGAAAATTAATTTTGGACACCCTCTTGGAAAATTTGACGTCATTGAAATTGGCTAAATCGATTGTTTGCAGTGCTCTCAAACGTTTCCGTGAGCGGCATACTATCGATCGGCAGGATCATAGCAAGCGTTTGTATGTGTTGAGAAGATGTTGAGAACGGTTAGGGCAAACCTAGGGCTGTCGGATTATGATATCGCAAAGAAATTTAATGCCAGCCAATGCACCGTCAGGAAGATTCGCAGCGAGAAGGATTTCGATCTTTTTGGGCCAGTAAGCAACCAAACAGGACACTGAAGCAGAATCTAGTGGCCAAAAGACGTGCCCGGAAGTTGTACAATGATGTTCTTACAAACTACGAAGAATTCATCCTCATGAACGACAAAACGTATGTGAAGATGGATTATGGGCAGCTCCCGGACAAAAGTTCTAAAAAGCCACTGTTCGAGGTGATGTCCCTAGCAAGTTCAAGTTCGTTTTTGCCGAAAAAATTGCAAGAAAGCTTATCTTCTGGCAAGGTATTTGCAGCTACGGACAAAAAAACTCAGGTTTTCGTGACAAACAAGACTAAAGTCTGGAACGCGCAAAAATTGGCCAACGTCAAATTGGTGTATTTCTGTTAAAAATGCATAAAAAAAACCTGAAATTCTGCATTTGGAAGTTGAGTGTACAATGTACAATGGTTGCTATGATGAGTTTTCACCGTTTGACGTCCAAGCAAGAGGAGCAGCGTATCAAAATTTTGCTCGCGCAGCAAGAGAATCCTACGTTCTCACACGCCAAGTTCGCAAAATTGGTGGATGTGGACAAATTGGCCGTTTTAAAAGTGTTCGGGGAGCGTCTGTCGACCGCCAGGAAGCCTGGAAGCGGCGGCAATCGTAATCCGGACGTGGCAGCGACGACGAAGAAGATGGCGGTGAAATAAAAGCGGAATCCTAACCTCTCCATCCGGGACGTCGCTGGCAAGCTTAATGTCTCCTATACAACTGTGCAGCGGGCCAAAAAACAAGCCGAGTTGTCGACGATTAAGAAGGTGAAGGAGGCGAACCGAGATTACAAACAAAACACGGTAAAGCAGCGGTCCCGAAAGCTGTATACGAATCTCCTCACAAAGTTCGACTGTGTCGTCGTGGACGACGAAACTTATGTGAAGGCGGATTTCAAGCAGCTTCCGGGACATGAGTTTTATATCGCATCAGGGAAAGGGAAGGTGGCTGAAACTTTCAAAACCATCAAGCTATCGAAGTTCCCGAAAAAGTATCTCGTCTGGCAGACCATATGGACGTCTGGTCTAAAAAGCGGCATTTTCATTACTACGGAAACCATCAATCAAGAGATTTACGTCCAGGAGTGCCTGGGAAAGCGGCTGCTACCATTCCTAAAGCAACATAATAGACCTGTCCTGTTATAGCCGAACTTGGCGAGCTGCCACTATGGGAAAAAGGTAATCGAGTGGTACGATGCGAACAACGTGGTTGTGGTATCCAAAGGCCACAACCCTCCCAACAGCCCAGAGCTCCGCCCTATCGAACGGTATTGGGCCTTGGTCAAACGAAATCTAAAAAAAAACTAATAAATCCATGGACAACGAGCAGTAGTTTAAATCTAACTGGCGTTCGGCGGCGAATAAGGTCGATGAGACCACTGTGCAAAATTTAATGGAAGGGGTTAATCGGAAGGCACGGCAGTTCGGATTTGGCAAACCAAAAGAAGAAACGATTTTTTTGTTCCTTTAAATATATGAATTGAACTATCAAAAGAAAAATAAGAAGATTTTTCTGATATGAATTTTGACTGACATTACAAATGGAAACGAAATCCAAAATTTCATCAATTTTGGAGCACCGGAACTATTTTAAATAAGTGTGATTACATAAGCAAAAATCGACATCTTAGCGCCCCTCCATGGTACTTCGTATGGGAACGAGCTGTCAGTTTGTTACTTTAGTGTCAAACAGTAAAGTATTTTGCTTTTAATCTTGATTTAAAAATTGAGATGGAAGTAAATGGGATCGAAAAAAATATCGTTGTGCTCAGAAAACGACGCCCTTAAAGATGATGTATGAAAACCGACATATTTTTCAAAATTAAAGAACCCAATTGATTCTAGTTTTTAGATGTGTTAAGATTTAGTATCATTTGAGGATCATGATGAAATTATCTAAAACTGTAGTGAGTAACTGTCAAAAATTGGTACTTACTCCACTACATTTTAACATATTTCAAAATTGAAACTCCCATTGACGGCAATCGAATGTGCAGGAAGGTAGCTTCCACACCTGCGTAGGATATCGCACCAATTCAACACAAATGGGCCGAGACCAATGGCTTTACTTCCCTTCCGAATGAAGACGTGACCAGAGATTTTATGCCTCCCACCGACCTCGGCTGGGATTGAAGCCAAACCTATGGCGGGTTCAAATGATATTGAAGGTATAATTTACGTTCCCAATTTCTGTTAAGACATGATAAAAGAAAAAAAATACTGAGCACTAATGGGTTAAACTTTTTAGGGTAATAGGGCATTTACAAAGGAAATCCGAATCTTTTCCACCATATCATGTGGCTGCTGCGTGATGAATGATGAAACTTATGTGAAAAAAGACTTCCTAGCCGTTTCTGCTGATAAATGCAGATAAAACCTTCAGAATAACCATGTCATAAAGATCAAGTGGTGCCAATCGGTTCAATCAATAACTTCTTCGGGTTGAGATATTCTGAGATTGCGCGAAATGATTGGAATAAAATAATGACACAAAGCACTCACCTGAAGCAGACGATCTCCCGGCAAAAGTATGGTCCGTGTTGTACTCCGCACATCGAACAGAGTGAGTCCTCTAGATACGGGTCGACCTGCAGCTTCTTTGTGAATTTGGCCGTTTTTATCTCGATAAACGCTGATACCACAGCCTTCATGTACGAGCGCGAATTGTTGAAAGTTACTCGTGCCGAACCGAGCGGGTACTTGTATTTGTCTGTATCGATGCCGACATACACTACTCCATCGAACAAGTCATTCATAATCTTAGCCAAACCCTCCGCCGTCAGTTGTCCATGTAGCGCACCAACGAATACGGTCTTTGTCGGATCAAGTTTTTGCGAAGTGGACTTGACAAAGTTGGAATCGGCAATATTCCATGGAATAACCTCAACGTCTTTCGATTTGATGCGTTTGGAGGATATTTTGAAGTTGATTCGAGCTCCCGGTGGCGGAAGGGGTTTATTCTGATGCACAAGCTGTTGTTGTTGTCCTGATAGTTGTTGTTGCTGTTCTTCCCCACCGGATGAATACGTTAGAATACCCGACGATGATGAGCTGGTACCACGGCTTGAACCATTGTAACTTTTCGCGTCTGTATAGGTACAAGTCTGCAATAAAGCTTTGACCTGTTTGTCCGATTCGAAGATAATGTAGACGTAACCTTTGGGCTGTGTCGCCTGTTGTTCCTTGCCAGGCCATTCAACCCTAGCACGGAAAAGAGAAACGTTAGATACTATGATAAAAAGCATTTTTTACTCTAAAATACATACTTTATGGAGCCGAATGGCTTGAAGATCTGAACTAGTGATTGTTCACTGATATCCCAAGGCATCCCGCCGAGGAAAATTTTCGACGAGTATGTCACCAATCGATGGGAACGTGGGGGAAGTACACCACTCCACGTGCAAGTCGCATCGTAATGTGCTGTAATATGGTAGACGAGAGAAGTAAAACACCGTTAGCAGGATGAACGCGGAAATTAAATCAAGCTTTGGCGGGAGATACACAGTCAGTGTTCGTATTACAAAGCTCAACCGATATAGTGCTGAAGGGTAAATGGGTGGCGGAAATGAATTACCAGCTGATGAACGGTGAAATCGTGCAATCCGGTCCAGATTGATATCATTGGCACCGTTGCTTGATGACGAGGGAGGGGAATTCTGCAAAGACCAGTTCTTGAGCTGTGGAGAATAAAAACGGTGTTATATTGAATGATACAATAACTGTCATATTATTCTCTTCCAGCGATTAAAAAAGTAACATTCATGAAAACAGTTACCAAATGTATTAATTGTTACAACTTCTTATTTAATTAAAATCTTCTTCGTAGAAATTGGGAAATTGTAACTGTATTAAAACAAAACTTTATTAATCATTCACATCAATTTGCTTTCTAATTTTTCATAACGGTTTATCCAATTTGAAAATTATTGATTTTAAATTGAAAGATATGAGATCCTAATAATCTATGTATGTGCCCCTTAAAACCTTTTTCTAACTCACCTGAGTACTGTTGTAGCTCGGAAGCAGTTTATTGAAATGATATTGCTGCAGCTGCAATTGTGACAGTTGTTGCGACTGTTGCAACAGACGCAATGTGTTCAGTGCCTGCAAATTTTGCAGCCGTTCATAGTCAGTAGCGAAACTATTGCCACCGTTGTTACTACTAGGTTGACTGTTGCAATTTCCATTTCCGAATGAAGATCCTCCCTGTGATTGATGCGGATAGAACTGACTCATATTCGGTATCTGACTATACTGGGAGCTGCTGTTGTTGTTATTGTTACTACTGCTACCAATGCTGCTACCGTTGGTATAATGCTGCTGGTTATGCCCATTCTGCTGCTGTTGGCTGATGGTGAGATAATTGATCATGTCCAAAATGTTGGTGCTATCGAAATTGGACAGCAAACTGGAGTCGTTGTCGGGCGGGGAATTGGAACGTGACAGAGACTGATTACCACCAAAGAGGGAGGATGTGCTGTTTGCCTCGAAGCTCTGATTCAGGTCGCCGAGTTGTTGCGATCCGCGAAAATATCGTGTGCATAGCTCCGTGGAGGATGTGTTGGGGGATGTCGGCAGGGAGCAGTCATAAGTGCCCATATTACGCTGCAGCAGCTTTAACGTCTCTGAGGTTAAACTGTTTGCGCCGTTTGATCCGGATAAACTGATGTCGCTGTCGAACTAGAAGAAAAGAGATAGGACGGATGTTAATTAGCAAGTTTCGATCAAGGGGAGCAATTTTTATTTTTCTTGAAATTCAAAAAAGCAACACATTATTTTGTTAATTTTTCCGGAACGAATGAAGCAACGTTGGGTACTGTTTTTAAAAGAGAATGAGTAAAGAAATCTAAGTATGCTACTATTATTTCTATGCAGTGTTGCCAAATATTTTTAAATAGGGGAAATGCAGGTAATGTCGGCCTAAGTGTCCCTAATTTGGGCCCATATATAAATTCAGCAATCAACTAAATTTTCAATAGCAACCAAAAATATCCATTAGTAACGTCCCAATAACGCGTTCATCTAGATAAAATTGATAAATAGCAGACTTTTAGCGATGGGCTCAAATTAGGGACATGTAGGCCGACATTACCTACATTTCCCCTATCGTTTGAAAACTTTAAACACAATTTTCTCTGAATGAGTATATTTTAATTTCCAATTTGATGGCAGCATCCTTTATTACTTAAGAAACACTTAACGAAAAAAATGCGTTTTTCCTAAGATATAGCGTTTTAAATCATCATTTAAAATTAATTACTGATTATCATGTCACCATGATCTGTAAAAGTTATGGTCGTGGATAAATGCTGCACTGTAAACAATGTGAAGTGTGTCACAATTGGGTGGTGTGCAACAATTGGTAAATTGCCCTGAGTGATAGTTTATAATTTTTTTCGCCTGATCTAACAAGAGTCTAACATCTTTTAAAAACTGCCTAAAGCAATTCAGATTTATACAACATGGCACCACTAGGGTACATATACATTATATACTTTATCGCAAGATCTTAGTTTTCAATTCTAGTCTTCGAGAAGTTGCGAAAAAGTGTTGCATAGCATAGAGTTTGTAAACTGAAACTTAGTTCATAAATCCGAACACTTTTTAAAGCAGATTATCAATGCCTATACCATGCTCAAAATAGCAAAAAAGTAAATTTGAACGTCATCATTCAGAATCATCACACGTGTTTATTATATTGCAAAGTAGACATAATTAATTAAAAATGAAATGTCTGGATGCCAGACGGTCCTGGTATTCAGAGCATTACGGTAAGTATTTTTAAGCCTAGAATCGTACATCGATTAATTCTCTACATGTCATTCCCGTTTCAAAAATATCTATATTGTTGAGCATCTGATACTAAAGTCAAGTTAGGTCAAGTCATCCTCTACATGTCGCCTGCATTTTTGCAGATATCTGACACTATTGCTGGTTTTACATTTTCCCTCCACAGTACTCAAACGGTTCCTAATAAGGTCCTGATTAGCCTCCCAATATTTGAACTCATTTAGTAAGAAACGGACTTGGCAAAAACCATTTGAAATTTATATGGAAGTTACTATGGGAAAACCAATATTTTTGTTCATATCTCCCTATCAATTCACCATATCACTTTGCTTTTAAAAGTGAAAGCTGGGCATGAAGTAAATTTTCTCAGCTACAACCTTGCTAAAGACCACTTCTAATCTTAAGAAAAAAAATATTAATGATTCAAGTCACTGATGCCTTATGATTATGCTCAATAAACTGTTAAGCAGGTGTTTCTAGCGCGTAGAATAGAGCGCACAAACCATGGCTACTATGTCACACTGCACAATACGGTATGTCCTACAAAACAGCTGCTTGATAAGGCCAAAAGATTCGCAATCTCTTAAACAATTAATAACTATTTAATTTGTCGTCACTTTCTTACCAAAATAGGTTAATCAGGATACGATTTGAGTACTTTGGGGCGAAAATTTCAAATTTTGCCTCAATCAATACAAGTGTACAGTGTACAACCTCCCATAAGAAGTCCCGGATAGCGATCTAGCATTGGTGCTAGGAAAATATGGCGATGTAAAGCGTGTAGTTTTGGAGAAATTTCCTGCCGCTTTGAGCCTCGATATGCATACAGGTGTTTGAGGTATAAACCCAAGGAGGTGGCACCCCTATCTCTACTAATAACATGTAGTCGTAGCGAGCATAGATGCGGGCCCACGCTCTGGGCCCGCTTGGATTGATATGTGATCACGTTTTTATGCTGGCTACGAAAAGAAGGCGGCGTTTCAGACCCTTGTATATACCCGAGCAAAGTCTGATATCAAATTGAAATCTAAATTTGATGTTGTAATTTCGTTGATAATGATTACACAGGTTGCAAAAAAATCTTCCTGTGACATCACGTTGAAAACTATTTCTGCTATCACTGAGAGCAACCTGAAAACTTAATTTACTATCAATTTTACCTTTTGATAACAAAAAAAGTATTCAATTTAATGCTATGCTAAGGCAATGAAAACAAACTCAATACAACATATTTTTGAAGAGCAAATGTACAGCAAAATGAAAACAAAATTTGGTATCAAATTTGTCAATTGCATTAACTGAAATCAATTTATGATTTCAGTTTGATGTTGATATAAGAACTTGATTTCAATTTGCAGTCATTTTGATGCTGGACTTTGCTCGGGTATACAGCCATTCTATAGCAAAACGATACAGTAATTCTCAGAATTTCGTAAAAATTGTAGTTTTTTCCTTATCGCAAAATATTAGACCCGTATTTTTTTTATTTTATCATAAGGGTGACCATTTCCATGTAAGTATGGTCCAAAAATCTTTTTTTTTCTTCAAAAATATCTTTTCAAAATACCAAATGAATGGCAGCTCTAAATACTTTTTAGGAAGAATATAATTATATTAAAAAAATGAGATTGAGCGTTGAAAAACATTGATTGTATTTGTTTTTTTTTATGATTTTCATTGTTTGTAGATAGATGCCGCAATATGATTTTATACTTATCTTTGAAAGTTTAGGCTTTTTTACACATTACATAACAAAATCAGCGATGTGTTTTTTTTTTCGTTTTTGTGTCATTTTTTTAAAAACGTTATGGGTTTGTGCTCAATACTCCAATGCGACTAGACTACCATGCATCTCCATCAATTTATAGCAACTGCAACAGGGTCACATGGTCACAAAGTCTCAATTAATTAATATCATTATTTTTTTAAGTATTTTAAATTACCTTTTGATCTTCGAAGTTGGCCAAGTGGTTCAAAAGATAGGAATTTTTGAAAAAAAAAAAATCAATTAAAAAAACGTTTTTTTACCATGGAAATGGTCACCCTAATGAAAAAATAAAAAATACGGCTGTAATATTTTGCGATAAGGAACAAAACTACAATTTTTACGAAATTCTGAGAACCACTATATCGTTTTACTATGGAATGACTGAATGTAGTCCTTTTGGACATTTGAGCCTTAACAAATAAACTATTTCAATAAAAAGGTCGATTTATGAATAACATTAAATTCGGAAGCCTTATATAAGCCATCTATCAAAAAGAGGCTTGGTAGTTACTACACTGAAACAAAATCCATTGGAAAAAATACTTTATTGCTGGTTTAAATTGAATACCTTCACCAATAGATTTTTGCAGAAAACAAATTCATTTAATTTTACTATTCATTCCATAAAAATTACTATGCATTTTGAGCAAGCATAGTAGTTTTTTTTTCAGAATTATAGTAATTTTGTTAACATTCTAATTCATATTAATTCCTAGTAGATTTAACGGTAATAAGCGTCGTTATATTGAAAATAAGTGTTTTCTACAAAATAGTATTCATAACTATGGTCCTTGTTTCAGTGTAGATATGGAAGCCAATTGGTTATAAGCATAATCACTATAAGGGTATAGTTCGAAGAGGTATCTTTGAGGAGAAAAACTACTTCTTTTCAAAATATTTAATATTATTCATTCATGAGATAAGAAATAATTATGAAGCAGAGTTATGCAACGATAACCTGGTTCTAAGACTTAAGTTCGATGTACAAATTGAGTTCAATTTTTGAAACAAAACTTCTTGGTCGTCGGTAAGACACATATCGAAGAATGGAAAGTTGATACCACTCCTGAAATAAATGATGAGCAAAAACAACGCTTACCTGCTGTAATAGTTGATATTTTTAAACTGTAAGCAGTCATCTACGAAGAGATTCAAATACTATCGTTATGCATGGCAATAAAAGTTATCACGTTCTAATGTATTGGTTGGATTGGTGTGCTGTGTGAGAGTTTGATAGTGGAAATCTGAGCATAATTCTTGCTGTCAAACTCATTTTGTTCAAATTCCATAAATTTTGAGGTTAAATCTCGAGAAAAATAATAAACAACTTTACACGGTGTTGCGATGCGCCCGTTAGTAACCATGCATCAGCTCCGTAGCATTGTACATTATGGGATGTAAGATCTGCCACCAATTTCTAGTCCTTTGCTGTTCCGTAATGTGCTGTTCTTGTTTGTGAAAACAATTGAATACTGTATATAGTCGTTTTAAAACTTCCAAATGACATGACTTCTTCTTTTTCTTCTTATTTCAAGCTTACTGCTTATCGCATATTAGCTTATCCAGCTTTCCATGCTCGGTAATGGCGGCCTGTTTGTATAAATAAATATATCCTTCACTGTGCTTTTTGACAATATCTGGAGGTTCAGACACATCCGCAGTTATTAATTGATAGCTGTACCATTTTTACATTAGTATAATTGTGTGGTAAGTACAATAATACTCTATGCCCAGGGAAGTCGATAAATTATCCACCCACAATTACCCGGAAAACTCCTAGACCGGACCGGGAATCGAACCCAGCCACCTCCAGCATGGTCTTGCCTTTATAGTTGTGCCTTTACCAACTGAGCTAAGGGAAGCCGCCAAATGACTTGAAAAAATGCCACAAATAGCAGTGGTTTGCACATTTTTGTTAAATCCTTAACCGTTAATCAACGACGTAAATTTTACATTAACGAATTAAAGTTTCTTTTAAATATGAAAACTGTTAATGAATTGATTAAGGATCGTTATATTGAGTACTTTTTTTTTCAAAAACGGTGTACTGCATCAATCACTAATTTAGAAAATAAGTTTGGCGAACATCGTCCTCTGATTTACATTTAAAAAATCCAATTGCTAAAACTGTAGACATCGTAGTTTATCTTGCAATGATATTCATCTGACGTTGCGTTGCGTTTGTAACGGAGTAATTCGTAGATTGCATACTGGCAACTTTATGTACCTACTTTAACGTTCTTATTCTGATTGCTAAAGAAAAACTATTTGGGAGTGAATAGCTCTCCAGTCAAAGTTCAGAACAGGAAAAGCATGGCAATTACCATTGCCGGCCACGCCCATCTTCTCCGTACGGGGAAAGGAAGTATATTGTTGATGTAACATCTACTAAACGGGAGGCCAGCGACTCACCGACGCCCCCATAGATGCTACGGAGTTGGACAGTTGAGTAGGAGATGGGTCAGGATTGGCTTAAGCAGTCCATGTGACCTTTGTAATTGTGTTGTTTTGGAGGAGCTTGGGAATAAACCCACGATCTTCTACTCAGTAAGTAAAGCAGTAGCCGTGAAGCTAGCCGAGCTCCTCAATTTTAATTCCAGTCTAGTTTAAAATAAAATGTAAGCAAACAAAAAGTAAGGGTCTCACCAAATATTTCATATTAACAATATGATCCATTCATGCCTTTTCCAAATGTTGCAATGGCGACCCGCAAAATATTGCTTCACGCACCATCTAGCGTTGAAAAGGTCAGCAACAATCATTCAATTACAATCGAGGGGTGCGAATATAACACTTATTACAAAAGTAAGAGTCACATTATTTTCATTAATTACAATGTGTATATTACTTTAAAATTTGTCTGACATATCACTGTTGTCATCAAATAAAATAAAATGCTGCAATACATTAATTTTATTAAACAAATTTTCATTTGGACTCCCCTTCATGACGATAAACAAATACATTGGTAGCCTTTTTGGCCACAGAGGTGCTTTCATCGCTAAAAATTTGGTTCGCTAGCTAAGCGAAAGAGTGGATCATAGTGTTAATATAATATATTTGCTGTTAGATAGAAAATACCATCAAGCCCCATATACTGCTCACCTTTGTAAAAAAAAATGCTATTTTTCAGATCAATTGCAATAGGTATACACATTTGCACACATACCTACTGCCATTTAAAAACCATTAACTTTCATTGGTTATTATTACTATTCCTGAAATATGTCTTAAACGCTGGCCGGACTGAGCAGTTTCAACATGTTATAACTCTGTAGTCTGAACGTACTATACTACCCATAATCGCATATCAGTCCCATCTTTGCTTGATTTCCTATCCATATGGGACTGATATGCGATTATGGACAGTATAAGACATACTTTATTGAGAATCACAGTGCTTTTTTTCAGTTTGTGGTACACTGCAAGTTTGAAGAATTGGGTTCTTTAATTTTGAAAAATATATCGGTTTTTATGTATCATCTGAAAAAGCTTCGTTTTCTGAGCAGAGCGATATTTTTTTCGAACCCACACACATTCATCTCGATTTTTAAATCAAGATTTAAAGCAAAATAATAACTTCACTGTTTGACACTGAACTGACAAAATGACAGCTCGCTCCCATTGACTTCTTGACGCAACATCTCACTTATACAACCTAGCTAGCGCAGCCCTGTAAATCGGTTTGTTTATTATTTTCAACCACGAAATCAGCTGTCAAAGTGTTCGACTTGACAGCGGATTGTTTTTTTTTTATTTTCAACCAGTAAAATGCGTGTATTAGTGAAACTTCTCACTAATACTAACGGTGATAGAGAACTCTATACAAAATTACACCGAGGGGCGCTAATAAGGTGATTTTTGCAAATGTTATCGTACTTATTTATAAATGGTTCCAGTGTACCAGTGTTGGGTTTGGGTTCCATTTTTAATGCAAATTACGAATATGCATTTACCTCAATACCTTTCAAGAACCCAATTATCACTCATTTCAACATCCTTTTACTTTGGTCTAGGTTAGGATCTGGGAGGGAGAAGCAGACTTGAAAATATATAAACGTCAAAGGGAACCAGAATCAAGCTGTCACGAACTGTCATTGGGAGCCAAGCAGTTTGATTATGCTTTTCTTACAGTTAAGAATACACAAGATTTTATTGGAATCTTGCGTAATGTAATTTATAACATCATTTATATAATCATGCGATAAAAATGTTTACAAAAATCTCAGTAGGATATAAAATTTCACTGATTTTGATCAGTTAAACAATATATGTCAGTGTGTGGTATTGTTGTAAATTAATAGTTTGTTGATTTTTTATAATTTTCTGCATATTTCCAAGAAAGAATTTATTTACGTTAAGTTTTTAAGCTAAAATATGTTTTAGTGGCTGGGTCTTGAAGCCAATTAAAATGAGATATGAATGGGGAAAATCGGTAGTAAATTGTGGAAGTTCGTTGATCGATTTTAGTAAAAATGCAAAAATTATAGCTAAGTCTTTGTGAATTTTTAAATGAAGTTTTTTGTTTATCCTTCTTGGATTATTTCTAACTTCATTTTTGTATTCAACGCACGATTTTACATGGGAAATGACAATCAGCGTACAAACTTCAAATATGCTGTAAACTTCTGTTACGTAAGCACTTTTAAGGGAGGTTCAAACCCAATTTTCTTCTTGGCTTTATTCAATTCGTTCCTACTGAGACTTTGCGTCGGCCCTCCACTTAGTGTTCTTTGAGCACTTCCACAATTATTAATATAGAGCTTTTCAAGCCAGTACCATTTTTGCATTAGAATAATTGTGTGGCAGGTACAATCACATTCTATCGGGAAATCGGGAAATTATCAACCGAAAAATTTCTAGTTTGGACCGGATATTGAACCCAGCCCCCTCCAGCATGGTCTTATAGCTGCACCAACTGAGCTATTAGAGCCCCCCTTCCCCCAATATAAGACGTATTAATATTTAGCAACCCCCCTCTCATTGTAAGATCATACATCGAATATTTGAATGTGCTGTATATGACTTCTTCGTGCTAACGAAAGATATTTCTCAGACCCGCTCTCTCTAATTTAGAAAAACGCAAGGAAATTTCTAACACCTCCTGCCCCTCTCTAATTACTAACGTAATTATTGAATGGCCCCTTTCGTATTCTAGCAGCTTACTATTACAGAATGAAATGATTAACTTAATTAAATTAATCAATTATTGAAGAACAGCTTGAATCTAGTGAACATTTTATTCTATGTATATCCGATTTCTAAGTCAAAGTGCTTTCTTGTGTATCCTAACAGCTTACCTACGAACTATAAATAAACCCAAGGCGCAACAGCTGCCGAAATGTAAGCTAGAAACTATTAGCGGTTTTCCTACCGCTGGCGTTTTGCCAAAGTAAGAAACCAAGAAAGCCCCCGACGACATCAGTCAACAAAGAAGTTTCCCAAATCACTTGCCAAAAAAATAGTTTTGCACTTTTAATCACCTTTCTTTTTCAATTGACTCTTTCTCTAATTGACTTGTACGAATAGAAGAAAAACGGCAGAAAGAAATACTTCATTCCACTTACTCGAAAATCGTCATAGTTCTTCGACGAGTGCACACTGCTACCGTAGTAGGTTGGCGATTGACCACCGCTGCCACTGCCGCCGCCACCTCCACCTCCTCCTCCATTGCCACCGTTGCTGCCAATCTCCGGTGAGCTCAGACTGGAGCTGGACATTGACAATCCGGAGAAATGGAAGGGATTGCTGGTGCTGATAACTGGCGACGAGGCCGTGTTGGACCCACTCAGGCTCAGTATGCTGGCACTGTCAGGACATCCAAGAGACGAAAAGGACGCCAGCGATGGCTGCTGATGGGAACCACTGCTCGTGCCCGATGAAATATTGCAGCTATTGCTGTTACTACTGCTGGCACCGTGTGATGACGAGTTGGAGGTAGATTGCGATGATTGTGATGAGCCCAAAATATCCGAAAATGACACATTTTCTGCTGGAACGAGACAATTGGAAGAAGAAAAGAATCAGTACATATACGTATGTTTGTGCGATGTATCAATAACTTGATGTCCGCTCGGGAGATATACACGACTTATTGGCAAAGGGTGTTTATAAGTTAAAGAATAGAACGTAGTCCAATGATAACGGAAAATTGATCGGTGTCTGCCACAAACAGGTAATTTAAGTGATAATGTTTTAAATTAATTTTCTGTCAAGTCTGACTCGATTGTTAGTTTGTCATATATAAGATATAGTAAAAGATAGCTAAGATCTTAAAAAACATTTCATGTTTTGTAAGATATATACGAAGACTGTTGATGGTGTTTCCATCAAGTCAATTTCACTGGTTCTGATTTGCATTACTAATTGTAATCGTACTATATTGTCCCTTCTTTTACTTAATTAATTCAACTTTTCATAGAGTTTCTCCAAAATATTATACACCTGTTTTACGCATCTTCTTGGATTGACTGCGTTTAGTTTTCTTCCATCCTTCTACGTTTTCATCATTTAATTGCCACACACTCACGCTTGGTGCCTTACTATTGACCGTGTAATTAATTAATTAATCAGTACAATATATGATTTTTTATTGTCTTTACTCGACCACTCGCACCTCGAGGCCTTAGTTGAGCACCTGGTTTTTATGGATTCCCCCTGACCATCGCGCACCCAGGTGTGCACGGCACACGCGAAAGACGCCTGCCATGGCACTTATGATTTGCTCCCCTGTACAAGTGCGCTAAAATGGTTGGTTAACTTGCTGAACGAAAAACAGAGTGTCGAGATCAGCTCACATCAACCAAGGAGCATCATACGTCTCGAAAAGGGGGAGAACTGAACATCATCGCTCATATACACCTTCGGAATGGACGTGTCGTCACGCTCAGCGATTACCCATATCAACACTAGTTTTTGAATTTCTTTAAATATTTCCCCGTTTGTTTATACAGCGCCTTATTAACTTCACTTCCCGTACGTCCGTCGTGTTTTAAGATGGATTTAGACGAGTATGCCTAGCTGCTCGTTATACCATGAGTTGCAGTCACGGTAGTTGCAACTGGCATCAGCTATTCATTAGTATCAGGTCAGAGTAGCCCAGTGGAAATCAATAACTCAATACAGTAGACCCTCGTTAAACTGGTACTCTTTAATCCTACTCGCGATAATCTGATGTAGTTGAATTAAAAAGTACGCTTACATAATATAGGATGGCCAGTGTATAAACCAGTGGCGTTGCCATAACCTCAATCTACCTGTTCAACCACTTTTAAAACGTAATCAAATAAAAAGTTATTTAAATCGATACAAATAATCGATTCTAGAAGACCCTATGCATTTCGAGACCGATTTGAATATAGTTATGACTCTAAATTACGATTTCAAAGTTGTTGAACAGGTAAAAAGTGAGGTTAAAATACGCCACTGGTAGATGTAACTGCAACTCCTGGATGTAACCATCTTTTATTCATAAAAATAATGATTGCCGGGAGATTGTATGATAGATGAGAGCAGGCACAAGCTCGTATAAGAGCGTCAAAGTCAGGAAGAAGATAAAAGAAGCGTATAGCATAGCCATGACTGACACATTTACACTAAAGGGTGAAACGAGCAAAAAGTAGTCACCCAAAATTAAGTGTAGAAAAATAATGGTATTCAATAATTAATCCTTTTTTATTTTATTCTGGTAGCTTGCTCTAATATTAAGCCCTGATATTATTGAGTTCACTCTATACCAAATAAGCTTGGCACAACCTTATGGTATTGTTAAATTAAGTCAGTTGACAATGCACGCCATTTTGCTTCGATTTTTTTTTCATATTATTAACTTATTGTGGATTCTTCTTTTTTCTTGACGATTGTTCAATAGTTTCAAAATGAATTTTGCGGATTCTAGTTGTTGACAGTTATGTTAAAATCCATCTTTCCCAATTTTCATGGAGTCGTATAAGATACAAAGGGTGGTTAGGATTATATGTTTCCTTTCCTCTTTTCCATTTTTTCTTGTTCCTTTTCCATTTCCTTTTTCCCTTTATTTTTCTTCTTTTCTTTTCAGAAAACGGATAATGGCGCTTTAACCATAAGCCATATAGGGCTAGGACAAGAGTTAGTACCGACCGTCAAAGGAAAACAAACGAATAAAGGCGCAATATCTTAGGTTTAGAAGCACAAGGGGGAAATACCTGTGTTTCATCCCAGGAGGTCAATTAACAATGGAGTGTACATTAATACTCTTAGCTTTGTCATTCTCAACTACTTATCTTATATACTTTTAGAAGCGGTATGTCTCCGCTCTTTGGTTTCCAGTGGATAAAATGTATACTACTTTCCATATTTAATAAAACAAGACATGTAATACATTGACATCTACTAAATTTAATAAACGCTACACAGTAGGCCTGGCCGCTTTAGTGTTTATTTCACGTCCCTCTTTTCTTATTGCTTATTGCATATAAACTTATTGCGTGCTCTCAACTTAGTGTTCTAGATGCAGTACTTCCACAGTTACCAATTGAGAGCTTCGATGCCTGAATAATTGTGTGGTAATAACAATCATACTATATGCCCAGGGAAGTCGTGAAAAAAATCCTATACCAGACAGGGAATCACCTAAAGTATGATCTTGCTTTGTAGCCTGCAACTTTACCGACTGAGATAAAGGTGGCCCCTGAAATGCCAAATTAAAAAAAATATTCCATGGACACACACAAATCAACGTATTTTTTTTTATTCCACGCTAATCAGATTTCCACTAAATTTTAGTTGACTACTTTTTGCTCGTTCCACACTTTAAGTACACGATGCGATCAAATACAAATTATGAAAAAAATAGTTAAGGAATGTAAGTATTTCCACTTACTTGATCTTAATTTGTTAATTCACTGCTTATATATTCGATATTACCACCTTTAGATACTACGACAGTGTCGAAACGTGGCAAACTTTTCGAATGTAATATTCTGAAATATTCTTTCCTACTTTCTTGATGGAAGTTTTAAAGCATTTACCCAAATATTGAAATCGATGGGGGCTTATATCTGAGGAGCAAGGGAGCATATTTCCTTGGGCCATACAATATGGATAAAAATTGTACAAGTCATTCCTGGGGCTTACTGCCAGTATTCATCTGATTGAAATACGATATGTATTGCATCAGAGTAGATGGCAGTTAATGAATACAAAACATGTTGCATTCTAAACATCAGATAGACTTCAGAGCCTTTCGTTAATCCAGATTCGATTAAACGGGACCCATTACCTGTCATTGGAAGCAATTAATGCAAACACTATATCGCCTGCCCATTGACGCTATTATGCACTAAAAGGTTCTTCTTGAACATTTAATCTGGGTAATAAGCTCAAACACTGCTTATTTATCAGTCATTTTGATCACACTAACTATTCCTAAAAGCATTGCTAGGTACCGCTCTCTTTATGAGATGTGCATGAGTAAAGCGAGCTTGCAGCACGGAGGTTCTCCGCGTACTGAAGACGCCCCGCAATTATTAGAAATATCACCGGTAGAGGAAGATTACCGCCCCGAAAATATTGTTTTGATTTCACCACGTTTTTATTTTTCTATAAATATTGGGTAAAATGTCAAAAATCCAAGAAAACCAGTGAAAATATATTTTTTCTATCTCATCATGAAAAACAAATTGGACCTTTAGTAAAATCGATAGGTTAAAGTTTTGCGGTTTTTTGAGTCTATCTACACGTGAATTTTCTTTCTAAAATTAGAAGAATTTATTAGAATTTTAATATCTTTTTCCAATATGTTTAGAAAAATCAAAATGAAATTATATGTTTGAGAGCGCGATTCAAATGTTCTAGACAAATATTTGATGAAACACGCTAAGGTTGGCAGTATGTGAGCAATGTTGTGAAAAATATCCCAATGTATCAATTGACCGTTCTTTAAACTTTTTCGAGCCCACCTGGTCATATATGATTGGTTGCATCAAAATTAATATATAGCTACATACTTCCTTACGAAAAGTTGTAGCTGTCGGTATGAACTATGAAGGAAAAATATGAATGCACCAGTTTATAACCAAGCTCAAAGACCCTATGAAGTTATATGTTAACAAACATAGACTTTAATCTGGACAGTCGAGACAAACGCGAGTACTCGGTCCAGTTCCTTTAACTTTAAATATAAGACAGTAATAATGTATAACGAAAAGGATAACTCGGCTCTGTAAAGTTTATTCGATTGAGCCTGTACAAATAAAGTAATTATTAAAAACAAAATCTGGACAGCGACGATTTCTTTATCATGATAATCCTACCCAAATTGACAATTCTAGATGAATTTTCTTGGTTGCAACATGTTCTAAGTTCTCCAAATTGTTGAGGAGTGCTGACAATTTGATCTACCAAATAGGCCTGCGCGATATTCTCAGTGACGATACTTACCTAAACTTGTTTATTGAGTTTCTGAACATCACTTATAATACAGTTTGATGTATATAAGATGCTCAAGGTTCTCCCAGATCAACAATGACTGATACAATACCCTTTAGTTACGAAACAACTTCAAACAGGTTCATCATTTATGTTTCAATTCCATGTGTATACGATGTTCTATGTTCTCTACATTGTCCATGAGCGCAGGCCATTAGATCTATTGAATCAACCAAGACCTGTGCGATGTCCTCAACTATCCAAACATGTTCATAGAGTTTTGTGCATAATTTATAATCCATTTTGAGGTATTTAAGGTAAGGATCCCCACATTATCCTGGAGTTTCGATCAAATGATCTACCAGATTAACAGTGGTTGATACATTCCCGGATAAAAATAACTATAAAATTACGATAAAATATCAATAATATACAATAGATTATATTAATGACAGTTAATCTTATTGTAGTTCTATTGTATTGGTCAAATAATCAAATGGTCACCACAATAGGTCTACAACAAATTCTATGATATCAAAATTTAGCACAATAAAAAAAAATTGTTATGAGTTCGGGTTGCCC